ATTAGGCCTGATCGTGAGGCAATACTGTGATACGAATTGTTTCACAATTTCGAGATAACAAATTGCATCGGCGGTAATAGTCAGTAAATAGTAGTTATCGGCCTTGATTGAAGGAATATTAAAGCGGAAAGAAAAGAACGACGATCGTTGGCACGCCGGCCACTTTCACCCATTGCTAGAGTCAATTGACGTCCGCTTGTCAGTTTTAAATGTTATGAACTTAACATTATCCTTCAAACGGGCAAGATTTTCAGGCACGATTCTCCGAGTCACGGGGTCGCGGTCGCGGTTTCACTTCTTTCCACATTTTGTCAATACTCCAAATATGCTCACTCTCGTTTTTCTTATCTGACACCTTATAGAATCGTAGAGATTTTCAGCCGGCGTCTTCAGGTTCAAGAACGTCTTACCAAACAGATTGCAATAGCGGTGACGAAAGCGGTACAACCAGCGGGAGTGGCTGTGGTCGTCGAAGGAGTGTATGTATATTTTCTACAAAAGAATCATTCGATATTCTTGTAATAAGCCTTATGATTTAACGATACAAAGAAAAACATACAAGATAGGTCGGGAAGGTATTATCATTCCATCATACCGTCTTACATTTCCTTCGGTTTCGTTCCAATGCACTTGGATCTTGAGCAATAGTTTTCGCAAGGATTAATCGTACGTAAGAATCTGACCTTGTACTAACAAGGTGCTATCGCTCGATAGAAAACACTTCAATCTTCAGAACGTATGTATAAAAATATCTAATTCGTTTATGTGTAAATATAATTAACAACTACGATCGTGCAATCGGCGAATGAATCAATCAAGATCCTTGTTGATACGTACAAGTCCAAATCATTAATGATCGTCGATATCAAGTTGTTGTGTTCAACAATTCAAATATCGCAATCCGTGTTATACATATTTCATGTACATATGCATAATCACTAGCTGCAAATGAATTATCCAAGTTTCACGGGATGAAGAAAAAAAAGAATAAGTTCGATAAAGGGAAAAAACTGCGTGTAGATTACATGATACATTGAGAGCTTATAAAAATGGGGAATTGTTAAAGAGATTAACTATCGTTCTTGGCATTAGGATCTTCTTTTTTTTTAACAGCGAGTATTCATAAACAAGTATCATATAAGTATGAAACGAAGTATTCATATAAGTTCATCCTAACGAACGTAATTTTCGTTTAATTGTGTGCACGTTATTTCCTATACGCGTTGCAATATATTTTAATTATTATAATAATCTTTATTTCTTGGCCATTAGATAACAGCATCCTTGTTATCTATTCTCGTAGCTAGATCCTAAGCTCTATTTAACATATACGCAGTGAATTAATTGCTCTCGATTCTAATGGCGAGGCCTGATTAATTATTCAACAACATAGCAATACTCGCAGAATAATTGAAAAATTATCTCCTTATGTTACAGACACATGTGCATGGTGATGAGAGGAGTGCAAAAAATAAATAGTAAAACGGTTACGTCAACGATGCTTGGTGTGTTCCGAGATGATCCAAAGACTCGTGAAGAATTCCTTAATTTAGTCCACAACAAGTAAATTTCTTTCGTCGGATCGTCGAAGCGTTATTGGCCAAGGAACCAATTTAAAATGGCCCCGATATGATCCTCGTTTAAACGTTTTCGTCATATTGCTACCTCACTACGGAAGGCGTCCGAAAAACAGAAAAAAGGATTATTAATTCGACGGCATGTTTTTTTGTAACATTCCTTTTACTTTTTTCTTTTTTTTTTTTTTTTTTTTTTTTTTTAAGGGAAATATCACTTCGTACACGCCGATATAAATCTTACAAAAAGATAACACTTGATTTTAAGGATTTCGTCGTACAATCAGAATAGTCCTGTCGACTATCGCGAACAGAACAAAGTTGAATGATGTTGTCTAAGACGTCTTTGAACAAGGCGCTCTTAATCTGCTGATCGAATGACACAGAGACAATATGGTAGTTACATACTTTGAAACTTTGCGTAAGTTCTACAAACTTACTGCTATTTAATTAACACTTCTACTATTTTAAAAAAAAAATAAAATAAAAAATAAAAAATAGAGAAAAAGAACTTACGGATCGTTTCGCAAAATGACAACGTTTATCTTCGTTAGGGAAAATCGACGCTTTCAGAGATATATTAATAACATTACCACGCTGCTGGACCAGCTGTAATTATTCGTTTCGGTTGTTGTTATACATTGCAAATATTTTCGTAATGTTATTAATGTATTCAGGAAATGGACAAATAATATTCAGAGACAACTATGTTTATAAAAATGAACTTAAGAAAGTCGGATGGGTTCCTCGATCGGCATGAACTCAATGATTGCCGGGGCACTTTCAACCAATGGCCTCGTGACTCGTGACAATACATACATATTTTAGATTCTATACTAATTCGTTCTGACTGAAAAGTGCCCGCCATCATGCCGATCGAGAAATACCGATAAACTCTATTATATTTTGAAAGCAAAATGCTCACGATGCGAACAAACGATAAACTCCTTCGGTTCCGTTATCGTTTCTAGCTTGTAAAACGTTAACAGCCATACGTCTTACAACTTGAAACGTTTTGAAAAGTTCCACACTGTCTTTAGATTCTGTTATCATGGTTTCGTTTTGTTATTTAGAAACTTTATCAGTGTACAAACAGATGTTTACGCGTGCAGCCCCCTTTTTATGGAAAATTTCACAAAAACGGCAAGCAATTTCGACGCACAATTTTTCAGCCATGCAATGTGCGTCGAAAAACGTTTAAGAATCTAAAAGAATCAATAGAACAGATTATCAAATTTGTCTAATAGATTGTACATTAATTCTTTGCGGACGGAACGGTTCGAAACCTGTAGAATCGAGTCGCTGCAGTGATAGTCGTCTGAAATTACAATCTACTGTACACGATATCGCTTATAACACTCCGAGATGCCAAATTTTAGACATACCTATACGCGCACAATGAAAGAATTATAAAATATATTTACTAATATTTTTTATTAGATATTTAAATTATTAATACCAAATTACATTTAATAACACAACGGTAAATAATAGCTGTCCAATTTAGTTTATCCTTGTGGGCATTTTTGTAGCACTTTTTTTTCTAACAGGAAGAAATTTACTGGATTTTCCCTTTCTGTCTTTAATTTGTTGATAAATAACGTACGTGTTATACAATGATAAATCTAATATCTAATAATGAGAAATATTTTTTTGCCATCTTATTTTCTTAAACAATCAATATCATAAACACAGACATATATATATATTTGTTTAACGGATAATGTGTGTGTTTCAGCTCTATCGATTGTTTTCACCAAATAGATGCGTTCATCAGCTACATTTATGGTTTAAGTTGAACACACATGCGTCGATCGTCCGCAAAGGATTAATGCATAATATCGAAATGTTTCGACACATATATATTTGTGTCATTGTTTTATATATATAATTTCAGCTAATCAAATTAATTACTTTAAATAATCATACAAAGTTCGTATCTGAATCATGGAAAATTATATTCGGAAACGCATATGATAAGTACTTAAAATGAGTAGAAACATTACATATTTTATAATTTTTAATATTTTATTTTAGCCATGACATTGTCCGTTATCGTATCGTTTAAAGAGAAATTTCAGAAATCGGTATCTCAATAGATCAGATTCAAAAATTGGTGAAACATGATTGTTTTTTTTTTTTTATTTTTCCAAATACTGTCTAACACTGTGAACGTTATAATTTCATTATAATTTCATTCGTTGAAACTTTTATGAAATGTGTAAAATACTATGTATCAATGGTGTTTAAGGTATAAGGTGCAACAGAATTTCACGGTACCTTTGATATGTCCTCCAATTCTATTTTACATTATATAATGAAAAAAATATCTTGATGTTATTTATGAGAATGGATATTTAATATTTACAATATTTTTCTGATGATGTTATATAAAGTTATATTTATACTTTCAATGCCATGTTTCTTTATTACTTTCACATCATAAAACGAAGGATACTACAATAACTTTAAATTTAAACGATTCGTTCGATCGTGTTTTAATTAAAAAAATTCAGGATTTCTATGGTGAAAAGGTATATTTCTATTGTTATGTGAAGAATATTTATGATTTTTGAATGTGTTGTATTTTATGCAACGACCATCAAGTTCACTTCTTGACGTTTTTGTGTTTCATATTATCACGTCATATCTAAAAAAAAAAACATGAATTTGATATAAATCACGTTTCACGGTTGATGCAATGAAATAGTTAACTTCAATATTTATATTTCAATAATGAAAAAAAAATGAATCTTATTATATACTAAATCTGGGACACGGTGGTATTTCAATTTTTTTCATAATCGGTGAGCCGCAAACTTGAGACATTGGCATGTTATTTGAGGTACAAATATTTTCTGCGTCTCCCTGATGAAGAAGAAAAAGCATACTGCTCTTCGACGCGGATTTCCGACTTTTTCCAGCAGAACAGCAAGGACTGGCACAAGGTCGTTTTACAGTATAATAACCTTGCTCGCGAACAGTATTTTTTCCACAATTGCCAGTGCGTTGAGTGACGCAACCTTTAGTAAGACAAGCCGATGCACCGTCTTTTTTACAAGGCATAATCGGTTCCCTGAAAGTGAAACTTGAATGAGTCAAGATTGACCTTGTTTAGATATAGATGGATAAGTGCTCTTTTTTTTT